CCCCAAAACCCCAAAACCCCAAAACCCCAAAACCCCAAAAAGCTGGGATAAGATAAAATAAAAATAATGGAATTGGAAGAGACTCAAGAGGAAACAAAGAAAATTAGTAAGCTCTCTTATCTATCAAGAAACCAATCCTGGCAGCCTTGAGACTGCCAGAATTGGCAAGCAGGTTGACAGCCCACTGGGTTACTAATGCTCTTTGTCTAGAACTTGAGGAGGAATATTACAACATTTTTATTCTTACCTTGAATTGATTCGAGACCAAGCCTCAAGGAAAACTTGACTATGAGGAACTCCTCAAATCTAAAAATCCTGCAGACTTGCAAGATATTGTGATAGTAGGACTTCAAGAAATCGTAAGTTAATTTTAGAGAGCTTTGCCTCTAACTCGCCATAGATTTCAGCTGGAATCATGAAGAAAGTTTTTAGCAGTAAGGTAGACGCTAAAGATATTATGGCGATTGCGATTGAAATCCAAGGTATTAATTTTACATTAAACAATAGAGGCCCTCAAAAATATCAATAGTGGATCGGAGTATGTACTTGCAGCCTGAGAGTCTAAGTTCACAATGGCAACGCTCTTTTTCTGCAGGAAGGAAATAAAGGACAGCATCGAAAATATCAAAACAAAATGGGAAGATATAAGCAAGCCTTTCATCTCAATAAAAGGATGCAACCTGGTTAGATTTGACATAAAAGATTTTGGATCACTTATTTTTGTAAACTCTCACTTCCCTTCTGGAGAAGAGGAGAGTAACAATAAGTACAGAACACATGCTTTTGAAAGTATTAATAAGATTGTCATGAAGGATACAAAGGATAAGTACTTTTACAAAGATCACGACATTCAATTCATCTTTGGAGACCTCAACTTCAGAGTTGATATCCCATTTGATGACATCATTGATGAAATCAACAGCAAAGACCACGCTGATCAGGTCCTGATCGAAGATATGCTTAAGAAAGACCAGCTAAATATGTTCAAAGCTCAAGATAGTGAAGCTGCAGAGCTTGAGGAAATGAAAATCAATTTCCTGCCCACCTATAAAATCAATAGGGAGAAAGGAAATTATGAGCTTGAGAAGTGCAGGATGCCCTCTTGGTGAGATCGTATTCTATGGCACCAAAATAAAGGTATTATAAAATTTAAACTTCAGAAACCAAATATAAATTCAAAGTCAAAGGAAACTTTTACGAAAGCAGACTTGCAAAGGTAAAATCTGAGGATGATGAGCAACTTTTTAATTTCTCAGATCACCATCCTGTGATTGCTGAGTTCAAAATCACTAAGGAAGAGTGGGAGGATGTGAAACTATCGTAAGTACATTCTTTGGCTATAAGCTTCACCAAATTTGTGCAAATAACTTACCGTAACATCTAGAGAGCCTGATATCCATATTGTAAAATCAGAAAAACCAATTGAAAGTGGAAGACCTTCAGCCGGAAAGAAATTAATAAGGAAGGCCAAACCTGTAGAGAAAAAGGGAGCAAGTATTGAAAAATTCGAAGTAGATGAAGAATGTATTTCTCTATCTGACCTCTATAGACAAACTTAGAGATTTTGTTGATGAAACAAAAGATGGAAAGCAAGAACCCCCTGCTAGCAAAGCTTGGTGTTGTCTCTGGAGATAGGCGATTTCAATCATGAGCTAATATATTGGGGTTTTGGGGTTTTGGGGTTTTGGGGAGAT